AAGAGGACCCCATGCGGCGCCAGGAGGCTTCCCCCCTTCCCCAAGAGGACCCCCAGCGGCCCCAGGAGGCTTCCCCCCTTCCTCTCACGCTCATATCCGTAGCCATCTCGGATCAAGGTATCGCCTGTGTTCTTGGATCATGGCTTTGACGGCGAAAGACCTTCACGAGCAGTATGGCGCAGAGCTGTCCCGGCCTCCCTTGGCCGACTGCGAGAGTGCGTATTATTTGCATCAGGCGCTCGCGGCAAAGGGTATCAATGCCAGTCACCAGGCGTGCAAGACTTGGTGGGCCAAGTATCGGGTTGTGACTGGCAAGGTCAGTATTTCTAGCGCCAAGGAGCTGGAGGAGCAGCACGGGTCTGCCATCCGCCACCTGGGCATCGAGTATAATACCGCTTACAAATTATGCCGGGCGCTCCGACAGTTGGATCCACCACTGTATGTGCCAGATAGGGTCGCAACGGCGTGGCTACTGCAGTATTCATCGAAAGACACGCTTGTCCAAGTGCAGAACGCTGGCCATCTGGAGAGCTGGTATGGAGAACGTATTCGCAAAGACATGCCCGAGGGGACCACTGACGGGGCCGTCTTGAAGCAGTGGCTCCTTGGACATTTATCTGTATCTGCTAACGCCAGGGTATGCCAGAAGTGGCTCAGCACGGAGTGGGGCGCCAAGGGGGCACTCAACACTGCCCAAGCTGTGGAGGAATGTATGGGCGAGCGTCTTCGACTCAATCAGTATCGGGAGAGCTTCGCCGACGATGCCGCCGCGGAGGTCCTCTCGCAGCTTCTCTCGGAGAGCGATCCTCCCGTCGCTGTCAGCGGTATGGTTTTGAGGCAATGGTACGTGAAGTATCACCCTGACTCTGGACCTTTGCAGTACGACACGGCCGAAAAGCTCAACGCGGCACTTGGTGACCACATGCGCGATGTATATCCAGGGCTGAAGTACCACACGTTGCATACCGTGTTGCGTATGCGACGGAAAGCTGTCTTGGTGTCCCGATCAGTGTTGAGAAAGTGGTGCGACGTGTATGCGTCGGTGGGCTCCTCCGTGCAGGCGGCGGCTTCATCCGCCCAGGCCGTCACCAAGCGTGTATTGAAGCGCCCGGCGGCACAGGTCGCAGGCGGTGTATTGAAACGGCCAGCCGCCGCCGGATCTGCCCGCGTGGCCAAACGGCCTGCCGCGGTCGACGCGGAGGAGCCCGTATCCAAGCAGCAGGCCACGGCAGCTTCTTCCTCCACAGATGTGGTTCGTATGACGCTGATGACGGTGGAGGCTCTAGAGGCGGCATGCGGCAAGCGGTATCGAGAGGAGGTCTCCGACCTGGGCCTTGGCCTCGACTACCGGAATATGCAGGTGCGTCTGAAGGCCTGGGGGTATGAGACGGGTCCGAATGTCTGTCGAGAGTGGCTTGGCAGGTATCGCCTCGGAGACGGTGCCAAACACGGCAATTGCGCCGTCTACGCGCTGTCGCGCAGGGACCTCCAGTGCTGGTATTACGTTGAAGGCTTGAGGGGGCGAGCGCTGGTGGACAAGTATCGCGCGGAGACCGGGGTATTTGCACATCGTGGAAACCTGGAGAGGTGGTTGCCCGTATGGCGGTCTTTTGGTCAGAGCGACGAGTATCCGAACATGCTCGATTACCCGGCCTTGCCACCGCAGGTCCACAACGTGCTCGCGTTAGCACTGCCGTATGCAAGCCCCGGCTCTCTCGCCAGCAGGCGCATCGGCAATATCATTGGGCATTTGGGAGCGCGCGGGTATCAGCCAGGCCCGCACCTGCATCAGCCAGGCAGCCATGTACCCAAGCGCCTTTGCGACGTCGCAGACGACGAGTCGCCTTAGTATGCTTCTGGGTGAGTATACTCCTACGTGTGACTGGACCTGTTTGCGAAAGCAGGAGAAAGTATGGCACCCCTTTGTGTCCAGAGCCGCGCCGTCTGCGTTATTCCTTTCTCGCTTCTCTCCTTTCCTCCTTGTCCTGCTCCTCCTCCCCCTCTTGCGCCTCGGAGCCGTATTGGAACTGTCGATGGCCATCTCCCTGTCTCCCTCGCATGTCTGCTTGTACATATGTATAATTTCAGAACTAAACGTGCATGTGATCGTTTAGAACATGGTGGACCGTGCGTATGTCACGAACCTTGTGTACTTTCTCTCCCTCCGTCTGGCTGTGCACGCGCGCGTTGGGCAGTGAGAGTTAGGATCACAGCGCCACCAGTGTATGAGCAATGCATGCGTCATCCTTGGGACTGTATAACAGCAGAAACAGACAACATTGCATCGCAGCGGGACAGCCATCGGGACAACCATCGGGACAACCATCGGGACAACCATTTGGACAAGCATCGGGATAACGATCGGGACAACCATAACCATCAGGACAACCATCGGGGCAACCATCGAGACAACCATCGGGACAACGATACCTTCTCTCTTGTGTCCTCCCACATCCCTCAGGAAGTTGCCCTAAAGATGTGACCGACTCCTCTCTCTCCTTCTCTCTGTCTCTCGCTCTTTCTCTGCTTCATATCTATCATACGTAACACATCTACTTGTGTAATCGCCTTCCCAGGAATTTGCCTCAAAAATGTGACCAACTATCTTGGCACTGCGTACCATCTCACGTGTACCGTGTACCACATCTTCTCAGGTTGCCTCACACATGTGACGAATCTCTTTCTATCTCTCTCTCCACTGGCTCTCTGTCTTGCTCTCTCTCTCTCTCTCTCTCTCTCTCTCTCTGTCTCTCTGTACTATGTATGTCATACGCAACAAATGCACCATGCGGGGCACATGCGGGGCCCAAACAAGTGATCAACCTCTGCGGGTGTGTACTCCACGCCAGTGTAGTATCCACGATCGTCCGCGCGCCACGAAGTGAAGTGTCCTGACGTCATAGGGCGGGAAGCTGGGTGTGGGTGGTTCCCGAGAGTCGTGTGGATGTTTGGTAGAGCTTGCATTGCCCCCCCACGAAGTGGGGGTATTGGCTGGCGTCGCATGAAAACCCTGGCACTGGGGAGAACACTGAGCGTTCGGGTAAAATGATTGTTGTTGTTGTTGTTGTTGTTGTTGTTGTTGTTGTTGTTGTTGTTGTGGTTGTTGGTGTTGTTGTTTGTTGTCGTCGTCCCACCCGCGACCCACGTGCGACCCACCCCGGCGACCCGCCAGCGACCCACCCTGCGACCCACGCGCGACCCACCCGCGACCCACCCGCGACCCACCCCGCGACCCATCCGCGACCCATCCGCGATCCACCCCGCGACCCACCCGCGACCCACCCCGCGACCCACCCTCAAGGAAAAACCACCCAGACCCGACAATTGACGTTTCCTAGACGACCCTGGGCGACTAAACAACCCTGCCCTGTTCGATTCATTCCTTGTGTGCGTTTACGGAACGGCTTCGTTTGTCGGGGTGATTCTGTTGGAGTGAAATTATCTGCCCTCCACACCCGCGACCCAACAGCGCAAAAATGGGATGGGCCCCAGGGTTTTACAGGCCCCCCCCCAAAAAAAAAATGGAACGGAGTGGACGACGACGAAGACGACGACGACGACGCACGTGGGACGCCACGTGGGACTGGGCGGTGGGGACGTCGGCCGTTTGCGGCCTGGGGAAGGGGCTGCCCTTCCGCCTCGGCTGCGCCCAGGCCCCCTTTGGACCCCAAGCGGGGTCCAAGTAGGACTTGGGCAAAAATGGCTACGGGGAGGAGGAGGAGTAGGAGGAGTAGGAGGAGGAGGAGGAGGAGGAGGAGGAGGAGGAGGAGGAGGAGGAGGAGGAGAAGGCACATTACATCGTGCACCGCTGTCTATGCCCTTGCGGGCCACTATGTTCTTTGTACGTTCCGAGGTCCTGCTTAGCTAGGGGCCTTCGGCCATTCCTGCCACCGTGCCTGGGTTCTGGGTATGAAGCCTATTGGATGTTCGTTGGTATCTCGTGGGGGGTATCTCGGGGGCCTCTTGGAGGCAGTTTTGGGGCCTCTTGGGGGCCGCTTTGGGGCCTCTTGGGGACTCTTTTGGGTCTCTTCGGGGCCTCTTGGGTCCCCTTGGGCGCCTCTTAAGGGGCCTCTTGGGGCCTCTTCGGCGCCTCTTGGGGCCTCCCGGGGGGGGGGGCTCTTGGGACGGAAGGCTCGGATTGTCGGTTCTTGCTCCCTCTCTCGGGCCCATTTTGGGTCCGCCTTGGGGCTCTCTTGGGTCGTCTTGGACGCCTCTAGGGCCGTCTTGGGTCGCTCTTATGCTATCTTGGAGCCGTCTTCTTGGGCGGTCTTGGGGGCCTCTCGGGCCGTCTTGGAGCGCCAGAAAGCCGAAAAGGCGAGAACAGCGAACTCCTTGAAAGACCGCAGGATATGGATTTGGCCTCTTGGGGCTCTCTTGGGACGCCTCTTGGAGGCCTCTTGGGGCGTCTCGGAGGCCTCTTGGGCCGTCTGGGGGCCATCGTGAGCGTCATGAAGCGATCGTTCGGCGATTCGGGGCCCTCTAGGACCGTCTTGGGGGCCTCTTGCGGCCCTCTTGCCCCGTCTTCGGGTCCTCTTGGGCCAGAGCAAATCTCGCGCCACCACTTGGCAAAGCCCAGGGGGCACGCGGGAAACCCCGGGAGATTTCAGAATTTGGGGTCCGGGCCCTTTTGAAGGCTCCTCAGGACGGAGGATTGAAGCTTAGGGGATTCGACAAAAGGCCTGAGGACACGCCCCGTGCCCAGAGGCGCGGTGGCGGATTACTCTTCGGCTGCTGCTGCTGCGCCCTGCGCACGTTTGGTGGTTGCTCCTTAGTTCGATCGACACTGCGGCAGGTGTTCGCCCAAGTCGGGGTAACCAATACGTCGACGACTGACCGATCGAGGAGGACGACGACGACGAGTGGAAACGGCTACAGTTTGAGCTGAAGCCGACAGTGCCCGACCGATCGACCACAGCGACGACGACCGACGGGCCGACTCACCGAGTCGCAGGACGACGACCGAGCGACCGACCGAGGAGCACGAGGGCGGCGACGACGACAGCCGCACACCGCGAGGCGCGCCGCCCCCCCCCGGAGCGCGCCGAGGGGGCCCCGGGCACGCTCGGTAGCCGCGGGCCGATGGCCGCGGCCGCCGCCTGAGGTCCCGCGCGCGGCCGGCGGGGGCGGCGGCGGCCCTGCGCTGCCTCCCAGGCGCGCCCCGTGCCGGCAGCTCTCCGTAGCCTTCGGCCGTCTGTTCGCGAGGGGCGCGGGGGACGCCGCCATGGGGCTCTTGGGGCGAGGGAGAGGTCGACGAACACGGTGAGTACTTCTATCAGCCTTGGGTCGTGCGCGGCTCCTTTCTGGAGCTACCGGTGATGGTATTCGGAGCAGCAGCTGCAGCGTCAGCTGAGGCGACCTGGGAGACAGCGTCCTTTCTGGAATAGAGTAGGGACAGCTCAAGGTTCAGGCTCCTTGAGCTGCGGCTAAGAAAGTGGTACTAGAGATGCGGTCTGCGCGCCCTCGATGAGGGCCCTCGCAAGCATCCCTAAGGGCAGGGAGCCGGGTGACACCAGCTCATCCTTCTCGCATCTGGCTTTCCATCGTTGCCTTTGCGCCTTCCTGGACCATTGTTGCCACCCTGGTGTCAAGGGATGGAGAACCACCCGCACCGGACAATTGGCGTTTACTAAACGGCCCTGGGCGTTCACTAAAAGCACTGCCCTGTTCGATTCTTTTCTTGGGTGCGTTTACTCAACGGCTTCGCTTGTCGGTGTGGTTATGATGGGGGGTGATTGTTTGCCTTCTATGGTGTTCGTTAATCTTCCCAGCGCGACAGTCGGGGCTAACAGGGGTTGGGCCTGTCGGCGTCGATCCAGCGGGGCCGGCCGTTACGAGTACCCCACAGTTTCGTTGGCGTCCCTCGGTGTGCCGTCGGTTGTTGTCGACGCAGCGGCATCTGCACCACAACACACACTACCAAGTGCAACCGCTGCCAGTGTCTCACGCTGGTTCTGCTGTGCTCTCTTCACCTTTGCTGGTGACGTTCAGTCGGCCGGGGAACCTGCACGCACCCGCGGCGAATGTATTGGCCGGTTCTGCAACTCTCTGCCGTCTTCTTCGTTCTGCAGTCTTTGACTTTGCTTCGCCGCCCTCCACCCTCCTGTTGTCACTGCTGGTTCTCCTTGCCTGCCTCTCTCTCTATCTCTCTCTTTCTCTCTGTACGCTTCTCCTTATTTCCTTACACCTACACACATATATACACATATATCCATATATATATATATATATATATATATATATATATATATAGGTATGTATCTATGCATGTATATACAAACAGATTCATGAATCGCCACCCCCTGGCCTGGGCCGGCCCAGCCCGCAACAATTCTAATACGCTCGCTGATGCCCTCCCGTTTCGCTCTCCAGAGGCGGCCCGGAGAGGCCGAGAGGGTGCCTAAACGAGCCAAGATGGTTCCAAGAGGCCCCCAAGACGGCACAAGAAGGCCTCGAGTTGCCCAGTACGGCCCAAAAAGGCTTCAAGACGCTCCAAGAAGGCTCCCAGAGCACTCCCAAGAGGGCCTCAAGAGGAAAACGTACATTTTTAGCATGTGCGCCTTTGCAGCTTTCCCGGCTGTGAAGACGGTCCAAGAGGCTCCCAATTTTCCCCCAAGACGGCCCCGGAGGATCCCATGAGGCCCCCAAGGCGGACCAAGAGGGCGCCTGGGCGGCCCAAGGGGCGCCCAAAACGGCCCAAGTTGGCCTCAAGACGGCGCCCAAGACGGCCCAAGAAGGCCCAGAGTCGCCCAAGACGGTCCAAGATGGCCCCGAGATGGTCTTAGAAGGCTCCGAGACGTCCCAAGAGGCTTGCCAAAGCACTCCCAAGAGGGCTCCAACAGCCAAAATCGTTAAATTCCCATTGGGAAACGCTTCGGCCTTCAGGGGTTTGAAGACGGCCCAAAAAGCTCCGAAGACTTGCCCAAGATTGCTTCAAACTTGTGTATGTCTGTGGGCCAGCGATCGTGCCTTTCTAGCTAGCAGCCATTTCGGGGCGCACGGCCGCCCCTCGCACTCGGCGCCCAAACTCGCACTGCATACTCGCACTTCGCACTCGCACCCCGTACTCGCCCTCGCAATCGCCCCCCGCACTGTGCGCCCACACTCACACTACATACTCGCGCCCCGCACTCGCGCCCACACTCACCCCCCACGCTTTGCGCCCACACGACACGAGCGCGAGACGCGGGTCAACTCGGCGCACTAAGTCGGGGACGCCCACCCCACGGTCAATTCGCCTTTCGCACTCGAGGATTCAGCTCGGACAACCAACTCGCGAAATCCATTCGGCACCTCCAATCGCAAAACCAAGGCGGCAACTCAACTTGGCATATCAACTTGCGAACTCAACTCGGCAGGCCGCCCCGCGAAATCAACTCTAAGTCAACTCTCTAAATCAATTCTATAAACCAAATCGGCAAATCAACTCGGGAAATCAAATCGGCGAAGCACCTCGGGACATCAACCTGGGAAGTCAATTCGGGAAATCAACTCGGGGAACCAACTCACACTTTGCAGTTGGAATGGTAATTCAAATCCCAAGAAGTCAACGCCAATTCAACTCGCCATCTCAGCGTTCCGTACAAGCCAACTCCACACATCAATTCGGGAAATCGATTCGGCAAATCAACTCTGTAAATCAATTCTGTAAATCAATTGTGTAAAGCAACTCGGCAAACCAACTCTGTAGCTCAATTCGGTAAGTCTGTAAACCAACTCGGCAAATCAACTCGGGAAATCAAGTCGGCAAATCAACTCTGTAAACCAATTCGGTAAATCAACTCTGTAAATCAACTCGGGCAATCAACTCGTCTAATCAAGTCGGTAAATCAACTCGGGGTTTGGTGTGGGGTGTGAGTGTGGGGTGCGAGTGTGTGCGTAGACTGTGGGCGTAGAGTGGGGGGTGTGCGTGTGGGGTGCGGGTGTGGGCGTAGAGTGTGGGGTGTGCGTGTGGAGTGCGGGTGTGGTCGTAGAGTGTGGGGTGCGAGAGTCTGCGTAGACTGGGCGTGGAATGTGGGCGCGAGTGTGAGAGGCGAGTATGGAGTGCGAGTGTCGGCATGGAGTGTGGGCGCGAGTGTGTTCGGCGACTGTGGGCGTCGAGTGTGGTGCGTTTCTGGCCTCGAGCTAGTGCTGGCCCCTCAGAGATACACAACTTCAAACAGTCCCAAGAGGCCCTCAAGACAGACCAAGAGGGGGCCACGACGGCCCAAGGGCTGCACAAGACGGCCCAAGTTAGCCCCAAAACGGGCCCCGAGAAGGCCGAAGAAGGCCCCGAGTCGCCCAAGACGGCCCAAGATGGCCCCGAGACGGTCAAAGAAGGCTCCGAGACGTCCAAAGAGGCCTGCCAGAGCACTCGCAAGAGGGCCCCAAGATGCCACATTCATTACATTCCTGTAGGATCACGTGCACTTTCAGCATCTACGTTTTTGCAGCCTCCACGGCTTTGAAGACGGTCCAAGCGACTCCCAATACTCCCCCAAGATGGCCCTGGAGGATCCCATGAGGCCCTCAAGGCGGCTCAAGAGGGCGCCTAGACGACCCAAGGCCCGACTAAGCACCTCCCAGGAGGCCCCAACTGGCCCCAAGAGGCCCCAAGAGGTCCTCCGTAGCCATTTTGGCTCAAGCAGCGCCTTTGTGCTCAAGGCGTCTTTTTTTGTTCAGCCACAGCAGCACTCGAAGCACTCCCGTGGCAGAGCGACCATGGCAAGCGATAGCGACCGAGGGGCACTCTTACCCACTCCAGTAGTTGCGACAGCTAGTGCTGACAGCAACTCTCAGTCGGACTGCGGATTTGTCTTGAAACGACTGTCTTTTTGCCTTTGCGGATGTGTCGGTTGCCTGATCGTCACCATGTTCATCATTCTCGTAACACTTAGCCTGATTCCTACCGACGTGTTCCCGAGACAAGTACAACGTTTGATCGACGATGGTTCGGGTTTTGGTAGTTGGGCGAATTTGTTTCTTGCTCTTGGAGGCGTGATTGATGATTACATTGCTCGAAGTAACCATCATTGCCCAGCGTCTCGAGGCATACAAGACTACATCAGCCCAGAGTGTATTACAGATGCTGCCAAATTCAATGCTGTGGATCTGAACGCTGGCAAGGAAAGGCTACCTATGGTCTGCGGCATTCATGCGTTTAATCCTAGACGATTAAGCAAGAAGTGGTGCAACGATGCAGGAATTCATTTTAACAACACGGGTGGGCCTAACGCACCTTGTGGCACAATGATCGCTGGCACTCATAATAACTTGCCCACAGCTGAAATCAAGGGGGGAATTCACGCGGTCGTTGACCTCACAGGCATCTTTTGGATGAACAATAACACTGCTACGGAGCACATTGGAGAGCAGCTTCTGACATTTGGAGATTCTAAACGTGAGAATTTGTCAGACGACGAGATTTCTTTCTTCACCAACAGGGACCAGGGCTTGCTTCAGTTTAAAGGAATCAATGAAGCGATCCCAAGTTTCAAAGTTCAGCTAAATCCAGACAGCCCAGATGCACGTTGGTCTTACGATGACCGTTGCATATCCAGCGATGGGATCATGAGGGTTGAAAGTCCCTTAGGCGCAAATAAGTTTACGTTCTACTTCTGGGACCAGCCAGAACCAGACTCAGGCGGTGTGATTTATGCTGAAATAGACAAACACGACTGGGCGAGCGAGGATATTTGGACGTTTGAAGTGCAACGCGATGGCTCGTCGGCGTCCCGTGGCATCTACAGCCCTGGAAGCACAGTACAAACCTCACTTTCGTACCAAGTGTTGAAAGTGCTTGATGCGCATGGGGAGCCAGTGATGAGTAGTGACGGCGCGGACCAGTGGGATAAGTTTCTGAGATTCTTGGATCAGTGGTGCATCAAAAGTTTGCTTACTTGGAAAGACAGTTGTCAAAGCAAACGTTATTGCGCGCTCCAACAGTTGAACACTGTTCAAGATGGATGCCAAAGTATTGAGTTTGAATGGTTTTTGAAGTGGACGCCGTCGCAAAGCACAGCGAGCGAAACGGCTGATGAGTGCTGCAGGAGCTCGCAGTGTGAACGTTGAGTCCACCACGAGGCGCCAAAGTTGTGCTTCCACCGACGGGATGATGTCTCTTGCTATTCTACCCGGTGTCTTGTTTTTGTCGATGGCCCGCCCAATGTGCAATT